TGCCACTGCTATTCAACATTGGACTGAAAACTGTAGCTTGGTCAGATCAGTAAGGCCAAAAAATTTTTAGAAAAGGTGTAAAAACTTTTAAGATTGAAATAAAACTCATTTTCAAGTGATATCATTGTATTCATCAAAAAGTCAAAAAATTCTATGGAAGAGATATTAGAAATAAATGAATTTAGCAAACTGACTATATAAAAATCATATTTTTGTGTATAACCAACAGATAGAAATATTAAGTGATACCAGGACAATTGTACCCTTTCTGGATTGGGTAGCATTGGCCAGACTTACCCTCCCACCTGACAAAATTGGGTAAAAGAAAACAAAAATAATTATTTTCAAGTCACTGCATTGTGATGGTTACACAGGTATATTTGTTAAATTGTATCAAGTTGTACAATTCAAATATGTGCATTTTAAATACTGTTTTACATTGCTGTTAAATTTATAACAAGCCTAAAACAGTACCAGTAATCTAAGAACTAAGAAAAAAAAAAGAAAAAAGAAGAAATCTAAAAACTGCATCACAAAATTGAGAACTTAAAAGACAAAAAGGACTTTTGATGACTTTGAAGTCTGGTTTCTTCCCAGATTGGTTGATTCAGTGCTGCCCTAATCACCATCCAACAGCTGGTTTTGTTGTTGGAAATTAGCAAGTTTGAATGTAAATAGTATATGCAGATTCAGTGACCACCAACAGCTATGTCAATCTGAAAATGGCAAAGTCAGTCTACAGGACTTAGAGGGCTAAATAACAAGACTGTTACAGGCACACCTCAGAGTCACTGTGGGCTTGGTTTTGGACCACTGCAATAAAGTAAATATTGCAGTAAAGTGAGTCACAAATTTTTTGGTTTTCTAGTCATATAAGAAGTTATATTTACACCATAGTCTATAAAGTGTGCCACAGTTTTATGTCTAAAAAAAGTACTTGCCTTAATTAAAAAAAAACTCTATTTCTAAAAAAGGCTAACCATCATATGAGCATTCAGCAACTTGCAATCTTTTTATAATGGTAACATCAGGGATCACTGATAACAAATTATCATAACAAGTGAAAAAGTAAGAAATAGTATGAAATAATGTGAGAATTACCAGAGTGTGACACAGACACATGAAGGGAGCAAATGCTATTTTCTCCCAGACCCCATCCCCAACCTGAACTCCTAGACCCACAGCCCTCCCAGTCCCCATCAGTCTTGTCCTCAGGAAGTCCCACCCCTTTCTTTGAGGTAGTTTGGTGCAGTTTAACCATTTCTCTAATTCTGGGCCCTGTGACAACAGCTTCGTTCCTGACAGCCTACTTTATTTGCAAAATCCATGAGAGTCACACTTAATAGGCAAATTCCCAGGAACAAAAAGGTAACAGGAAAGATGGAGCTGAACTCCTTTTGGTGAGGACAGCCCTGGGGGAGGGCAAGACCTTGAGGCTGAGTGAGGAGACCACAGAAATGGGGGTAGGTCAGGGGGGTTCAAGGCTTCTCTCTGCCACTGCTTGGAGCTTATCTCACTGAGGTTTTCCAGCTAAAATCTGCAGGCATAAGATTCCCCATCTGGCCAGACAAGGGCAGATCACCCAGGCCCGCCTACATCCAGGAACTCTGTTCTGGGCACCAGGCTCATATCAGTCGGGTGGGGGATCCCCAGCTACACAGGGCCTGCCTGGTTGTGGCTTGCCCGTGGGTCAGGGCAATTATGGACATGGGTAAGGGGCTGCTGTCCATACAGTTTATTAAGATGCACACAAAGCCTGCCCTGGTCCCACTGTGGAATGTGGATGGTGGGGCTACCGGCCCATCTTGAGCAACACTACCTGCGGTCAGCCCCTCACCTCCCATCCCAACCCGTGTGTGGCCCCAAACTCATGCCCTGGACAGGGCTGTGGGGAAAAAACACTTCTCTGGAAAATACTTGGGTGTTAAAAGCACCAGAAGCCCCTCCTAATCCCCACCCTGGGCACATGGCAAGGGCTGTGCCACCCCCTCCAGCACAGTGCTCACAGGTCTAGCTGGGAGTCCTGGGGGCTCTCGCCACCTGCTCCTTCCATGCCAATGCGCAGGCTGGTGAGAAGTCCTGCAGTGATGTTAAAGCAGGCAGATAGCTGGATAAAAGCAGAGAAAGACACAGAACTAATGGCAGATTTGGGCAGAAAGGAGGGCCACAGGCCAAATGCAGGAAACCATACATCATATAAGCACCAGCGGTCCCTGGGCAGAGAAAGAAAAGCAGGAACCTCTGGGCTGATAAGTGGTCACAACTTTAGGGGTGATAAGCAACAAAGAAAGGTGGGAAAAGGCAGGAATTTCCAGTGTCCGAATGTAACCTTTTGCACATTATGCCCTCATTTCAATAAAATTAGACTTGCAGATTAGAAGAACTCACCACTGGCTAACACCATGACACTTCCCATCCAGACTAAATAAGGACAAAAATCTCTCCTCCATTTGGGGAGGTGGAGTTGGGATTAAAAAATCAAGGAATATAACCCCAGATCCTTCCCTTCCTAAATAATACACAAACCATTTATTTTTACACCCTATGTAACCAACTTGCCAAAGAAACTCTGGGCAGCCCCTCACCTTAGCCTGTCCACTCTCCCCCTGGGAGTGTACTCTCCATCCTTTAATAAATTCTCACTTGACTTTTTTAACCACAGTGTCTTGCCTCTGAATTCTTTCTGGGACAGGACAAGAAACTGGGACACCAGTTACATCCATAAGCAACAGAATCTTGCAATATTTTTCCTTTCCAAAGTCTGGCATATTTGCTTAGTGTAACTTCTTCAAGATTCATCCATGTTGTAGGAGGTATCAGAACTTAATTCCTATTTTTCCTTTTTACATTCCCATTAGGTTAATTTTTTCTTTTTTTTTAACACCTTTATTGTGGTAGATTCCTGAACAGTAAATGATGCTTATTTCATATGTACAATTTGATGAATTTTGACAGTTGTATACAGCAATGACACCATCACCACAATCAAGAAAGCTAACATTTCCATCACTCCCTAAGAGGAGCAAATTTAAATACCCAGCTTGTACCTTCCCACCAACATTACCTGATGCTAACCCTAAGTTTAGAACTGACTTCCTTTTCAAGGTAGAATAATATTCCACTATATAACTTCACCACACATGATTCCCCCATTCATTGGCAGATGGACACGTGCTGCTTGCCCCCTTTAGGCTGTTGAGAATAATGCTACTGTGAACATGGACCCTGGTTACAATTCTTTTGGAAATTTAGCTGTACAAGTGGAATTGCTGGACCAATTGGTAATTCTGTGTTTAATTTTGGAAGCCCTACCCCTCCTCACTGCAGCTGAGGCTGTCAGAGGTTACAGGCTGGCATCCAGAAGCAGCACATCAGGCCTCTCCCCTCTCCAGTCCCCCTTCCAAGTGTTCTGGTGTGTGAGCTTCCCCTTTGCCTAAGGGGCCCATTGGAAGGGAAGACAAGGAAAGAGGAATATGAAGACACCTTGAGCAACTGAGGGTTTTTGTTAAAACTGATGTCAAACTCTAAACTGGGCAGAGAACATTTAAACAGTTCTGAAAAATACCTACTAAGTTGGATCAAGTATCCTGAGCTGGGAGAACATTAGAATAGGGCCTTGAGAGCAAAGTTCAATGACATTAAATACAATTAAATTTTTTTTCATTTGTGGGAAATCAAGTTGGTTTTTCCTTTTGACATTGTAGTCGAAATGCACACATTTTAAACTCAGTCACAGAAACCACTAAGATCCTTGTAGCTTGTGGTTCATGCCATTCCTCACAAGGAACTGGAGGAGGCCCTGTGATGGAGAGAACTGAGGGGCCATGTTCTAACTCATGTCATGGCCCCAGAGGGCCCTTCGGAGGAGGTGACACTTGGGCAGAACTTTGTCAAAGTCAACCCAGAGGTGAGCTAGTGTAAGAAGTTCTCAGGCAGAAAAAAGTGCAAAGAGGCCTGGAGGTGACAAATAGCTTGATAGGTTTGAAGAGCAGAAGTTATGTCATAGCAAATAGAGCATGATGATTAAGGAGGATGCATGACCTTTCAGTTTTGATCATAGGCCCCCACTCCTTTCAATTCTTTACCAATTGCTCATAGGTTTGAAAATAAAGTTTAATTTCTGCATTCTTGAGACCAGTTCCATCCTGGACCTGATTTCCCTGGCCTCCCCCTCTGTCATGACAGTGCATAACCTTCCCATCAGCCGTGCTCACCCACATGCAGCCCCTGGACGTTGATGGTTCTTTCCTCCCCTCTGCCTTCCCTTCTGCCTGGGACACTGGCCTCCCTCTTCTCTAGCTGCCTAATTCCCTTCCTGTGTTTGAAAACCCATGTCCTGCCACCGCCTCCAGGAAACTTCCCAGGTTGAGGGGCTCACCCCCTCAGCACTTCTGCCATTCTCTCTGCAATGGTTAGTTCTTTGTCTTTCTGTCTGAGTGACTGCACACTCTTTCAAGGCAGGAAGCAAGGCTCACTCCTTATGTTTGTGTCCCTGTGTTGACCTGGTCAGAGTTAGTATCTCTGCTGATGTCTCCCAAACACTTTCTGCACCCCAGGTCCTCCCTCTTGGGCTTTACACCCACACATCTAACTGCCTAGTAGATATGTTCATGCAGTTGGCCCCCAGCAGTGGTCCTGGGGCCCCAGGTTCACAGCACAACCACCTGGAGCTAGATCATGCTGCCTGTGGGTGACAATTGCTGTATCTCTTCTCAACTCGGTGTGAAGTCAGATGAATGGCTAGAAGTCAACTGTGGTGGGATGGTTCCCACCACTGAATTGGCAGATACTAAAATCAGGGCTCCTCCCCTCTCCCCAGGTATTAGTTGTTAAACACTGACCAGCACACCCTTCCTGGGAGGGCTGGAGATTTTGTTAACACCCAGATTGCTCACCCTACCCACCCAGAGTGTTCCTGATCTAGGAGGTCTGGGGTAGGGCCTGAGAAATTGCATTTCTAAAAGTTAACAGTGACACGAGGCAGCTGGACTCAGAGTCAGAGCCCTACAGACATGTTAGCATCATGTCCAAAAGGAAAGCCATCATCCTTCCCTCAACCCACTTTTTCTGTGTGTTGTGTATGGGGAACGGCAGCACCATCCACCCAGTTTCCTCTGCCAGAAATCTGGGGATTGTCTCCCTTTTGTCTCCCTCCACTTCTGGGTAACTGATCACCAGGTCCTTAGTATCACCTCTCCTCGATCTGCCCCCTCTGATACTTCCCCTTCTCCCCCACCTCAGGGCCTGGGCCCAGCCTCATTCACACTCCCTCCCTCCTGTGTGTCCCTGCACCAGCCTCCCAAGGAGGCACCAGCTTCCCTCCTCACCTGTTCTGGTCCATTCTCCATGTCACTTGGCAGCATGGTCCTGACCAGCTGAGCCATCAATCCCATCATAGGATTCCCCATTCATTCCCTTCAGGAGTCTTTCTGCCTGGAGGCCTCCCATTATCATTCTTCAGCCCCCACCCCCATCAGGGCTGGGCAGCTGTGTGTGCTCTGGGATCCTTGCACCCTCTCCATCCCCATGGCTTATTGAAGTGTATCAGGTTTACAGTGTTGTGTTAGTGCCTGCTGTATAGCACAGTGATTCAGTTATACATGTATATATAATGTTTTTCATATTCTTGTCCTTATAGTTTGTTAATAGTTACTGGATATAGTTT